CACCTTGTTGTCTCGGATTCTCCAGCATCTGCAGTTCCTACTATCTCTGATTCGTTCTTAACTACCCTGTCTACCTGTGACACAAATTTCAAAGAATTAAGTACCTGAACTCTTAGGTCTCTGTTCTACAACCTGGCTCTAAAGAAGAGCCACATCAGACTCAAAATATTATTGTTATTTCTTTCTCCACAGATGCTGTCAGTTTCTCCAGCACTTTCTGTTTTTCCTTCAGATCTCCAGCAGCGACAGTACTTTTACTTTACGTGAAGCTATCCGGTTTAATATAATATTTTTTAGAAAATCATTATAACTTTTGAACGATGAAGGGCTGAGAAATATTTGCATTTCAGAGAGACCTTGTACATGAATCTCAAAAAGTGAACATGAAGCTGCTGCAAGCAATTAGAAAGGCAAATGATGCTGGAATTTTGTTACAAAGTGATGGGAGTGTAAGAGTAAAGATGTCTCAGTGCAATTATGCAGAGTATTGGAGAAGCCACACTGAGAACACCCAATGCAGTTTTGATCTCCTGACCAAGGTAAGGGTAGATTTGTCATCGTCCCATTGTCATTAGAGAGACAGAGACACACACACAACTGGTGTGGAGATTTACCTGAGGGGCACCATGCTGCAGGTGAAGGGTGAAGTTGAGAAGGTGGGGTGTTCAAAGTGATCTCAGCCAGGATGGGAATTGAACCTGCACTGTTGGCATCACACAACTGCCATTCAGCCAACTGAGCCCACAATCCAAGGGAATACATCCTTGCCCTAGAGGGAGTACAACAACCCAAGCTGGAATTTGGAGTTAGGAGCAAAACCAAAGTTGCTGGAAAAGCCCAGTAGCCTTCCAAACTCAGTTCCGAGGAAGGGTCACTGGACCCGAAATGTTAACTCTGTTTTTCCCTTCACAGATGCTGCCAAACCTGCTGGGCTTTTCCAGCAACTTTGTTTTGGTTCCTGATTTACAGCATCCGCAGTTCTTTTGGGTTTTTTTTTTGAGTTAGGAGACTGTCCTATAGGAAGAGATTGTGTAGAATAGGCCATTCCCCAGAGTTTGGAAGAATAAAAGGTGAACACCATAACTGAATCTCCCACTGCCAACATCCTGGGGGTTACCATTGACTAGAAACAGACTGGACTAGCCATATAAAACTGTCATTACAGGAGCAGGTCAGAGGCAGGGGATCCTGCAGCAACTCACCTTCTGACTCCCCAAAGCCTATCCACCATCTACAAGGCACAAGTCAGGAGTGTGATGGAACACTCCCCACTTGCCTGGATGGGTGCAGCTCCAGCAACACTCAAGAAGTTTGACACCATCCAGGACAATGCAACCCACTTAATAGGCACCAAATCCACAAGCATCCACTCCCTCCACCACCGACGCTCAGTAGCAGCAGGGTGTACCATCTACAAGATGCACTGCAGACATTCACCAAAGATCCTTCCAAACACATGACTACTTCCATCTAGAAGGACAAAGGTAGCAGGTACATGGGGACACCACCCCCTGCAAGTTCTCCTCCAAACCATCTATCACCCTGACTTGGAAATATATTGCTGTTCCTTCAGTCTCACTAGGTCAAAATCCTGGAATTCCCTCCCTAAGGGAATTGCTGGTCTACCAACAGGACACAAACAGCAGCAGTCCACCACCTCCTTCTCAAGGGGCAACTAGGGATGGGCAACAAATGCTGGCCCAGCTACTGACACACATCCCTTGAACATTAAAAAAATTAAACAGATGAAATTGGAACGTGGCAAGAACTGGAGCTGGAGGAACACAGCAGGTCAGGCAGCATCAGAGGAGAGCAGGACAGTCCTGATGAAGGTTCGAAAACATTGACTTTCCTCCTCCTCTGATGCTGCCTGACCTGCTCTGTTCCTCCAGCTCCTCACTGTATTGATAGAAACAGATAAAATTCTTGGTCAATTATTTTAATATCTTCTCACACTGTGTCAAAACTGTGTGGTAGCTCTCCAAGGCGATGTGCCTTTAGTTTCCATCCTAGGCTCTGGAATTACTTCCACAAACCTCTCCATCTCATTATTCTGTTTTGAAAGTCACCCTGAAACCTAACTCTTTAACCAGGATATTTGTTACCTGTCCTAAAGTCTATTTCTTCCACTGAGCATCAGTTTCTTTTGTCAGACTGTGTTCCTCTGAAATGCAGTAGGATTTTTTGCTGTGTTAAAGGCACTACATAAATGCAGACTGTTGCTGGCCTAAAGAGATTCCTTTGGACATGTTTGGATTTTTGAGTTGAACGGGAGATACTTACATTCAGCCAGCATCCCTACTTCCTTGCACTTCCTTAGGCGGCATTCCTGGCATCTCCGTCTCATGTACATGTCCATCTCACAGTTCCCTCCATTCTTACACTTGTACACCGCGTTCTTAGTGATACTGCGACGGAAGAATCCTAGACGGGGATATTTAAATGAAGAAACTTTGAGAAACACGTTGTACAGCTCAGTCCGTGCAAGTTCACCTCTGCTCAGGTCAACAGAAATTCATTGAAATAGACTGAACTTAAATGAAAACAATAATCCTGTTGAAAAGAGAAGTGAGTTGCTGAAGCTTTCCATCTCACACTCATCAGGACAAATGCAAAATGCCAAATTTTAAACGATCACAACAATTTATACTACAGGAGAAAAGTGTGCTAACTGGTTAGCATGTCAACTCTGAATGGCTGTTCTTTTGCTATGGCAACAGCAAAGAGGAATTATAGGCTCCCCAGATTCCTGAGTAATTCAAAGTGGGCACAAAGATTGGGCATATTGCTTTTGGCTGCAGAGAATGTATTCTTGCATTTAAATATAGGGCACTTCTAGCAAGTGTAAATAAGTTATATTGCATGGTTGTTATAGAACAGTACAGGCCCTTCGGCCCATGATGCTGTGCCGATCTATTATCCTACTCTAAGATCAAACTACCTTGCATACCCTACATTTTACTATCATCCATGTGCCTATCCAAGAGTCGCTTAAATGTCCCTAATGTATCCGACAGTCATGTAATTGAAATCTAATGGAAAACCAGACTGTTGATTTTATGGAATTAAACATTTTTTTTAGTTCAGTCAGAGGATAGTTTAACTTTGAATATTACTGCAGACACAGTACTATTGGAGTGTGATCTGGATTACACTCTCACACCTCAGAATGGGCACATACCTGAGCCAGAGACCATCCGACTTAAATGAACTTAGGACACACTCAAATACTTAGAACCTGAGGCACAAGAGTAAAATATGATCAGAAATCTAACAGAGATTTTCAGTTTGGTGCAAGTGATTGTTAAACTGCTGTTGGAGAAACCTTTTGGTTACCATTCCTGTAATCGATAGTGATCCACAATGTAAGTTTAAAACTCATCCAGTAAATTGTGAATCTCAAACTATTAGTGCTACAGGGGCATAGTAATGGAGTGGTGATATAACTAGATTGATAACCCAGAAGAATGTGAGATTAAATCCCTCCAAGATTTGATAATCTGCAATTGGAGGTGAAAATCTGGTACAGGTGGCAATTTACAAATGTCTGAATTGGGAACACTCGGTCTTACAAATGAAATCCCATACAGAGGTGTATTAACATTATTTGATATCAATTTTAAAGATCTGACTTGTGAATGTTTCCTTACATCTATGAATGTCCTCTTAATGTTGTACTGCATTGTGTTCCAAGTTGTGTACAAATTGCTTTATGAATGGATTAAGAACATAACCCATTCACAATCTGGGGACTGCCTGTATCTGTGAAAGTGACCTTGAATTATTGGCTGCAGTAAACACTCAACTGAGTCGTAGAGTTATAGAAGTTTTCAGCAAGAAAAAGCCCCTTTGGTTTGCACTAGTTAAAAACATCTACCTCACTATTCTAATCCCATTTTCCAGCACTTGGCCCGTAGCCTTGCGTGCCTTAGCATTAAATACCTTTTAAATGTGATAATGGTTTCTGCCTCTCCCATCCTTACAGGCAGTGAGTTCCACCCTCTGGTAGAAGATTTTTCCTCATTTCTCTAACTGATTTAAAATTTTATACTTCTCAATCATGGCCCCCATCAGTCTCCTGTGCTCCAAGAAAAACAATCCCAGACTATCCAATCTCTCTTACTTGACAACATCCTGGTAAATCCCCTCTGCACTCTCCCCAGCGCTATCACATCCTCCTATAATGTGGATTCCAGAACTGCATACAATACTCCAGCTATGGCCTAACCAATGTTTTAATGGTGTGCTGTAAAGGGAAGGAAGTGTACCTCATCCAGTCTGGCTTTTATGTGAGAGACCCACCACAATCTATGCATTTTAAACAACCCGTTAAAACATGCCTCTGGAGCAGGTGGCACTTGAACACAGCCTCCTGGCTCAGAGATAGGGACATTACCACTGCACAACAAAAGCTCACCCACTCCAATGTAGTTGACTCTTAACTGTTCCCTAAAGGGGCCCAGCAAATCATTCCATTGTATCAACCCTTCCTCCACCAGGAATTTAAAGAGAGGGCCTCATATATCACCTGCCAAACAGAACCAGGGATGGCAAAAGTAAAACCTACAGCTTCAATAAGGAAGTTAAAATTAAATGCAGCCTTGCTGTCGGTCTGCACTTCTCAAGAGAAATTTTCATTCTTTAAAAGCAGGGTAACAGCGAAGAAAAATTCTCAGAGTCAGAAAGTTGCGAGTTAAATCTCCAATTCAGGTCCTTTACCTTATCACCTACAGCTACACTTGGATACAGTAATGATCCAATATCCAAATTTCATCCCCCTCAGCATCGAGACTGAGTCAGATTTTGGACTTCCCACATTGCGGATAATCCTGCATCAGATGGGAGAGGCTACCAGGTGTTTTCTGCTGTCCTATCTGCAGGATTGAGACCTGACCTGGGGTTTGCAACACACCATTGCCAGGATCTCAATGCTTCTCAACAGAATGAAACCACCACCAACCTAATACCCTCCACTCCCACCCTCACTCTCACCCTCCACTCGCACGCTTCACTCCCACCCTCCACTCCCACCCTCACTCTCACCCTCCACTCGCACGCTTCACTCCCACCCTCCACTCCCACCCTCACTCTCACCCTCCACTCGCACGCTTCACTCCCACCCTCCACTCCCACCCTCACTCTCACCCTCCACTCGCACGCTTCACTCCCACCCTCCACTCCCACCCTCACTCTCACCCTCCACTCGCACGCTTCACTCCCACCCTCCACTCCCACCCTCACTCTCACCCTCCACTCGCACGCTTCACTCCCACCCTCCAATTCCACCATCCACTCCGACCCTCCACTCCCACCATCACACCCATCCTCCACTCCCTCCCCCACTCCCACCCTCAACTCCCACCTTCCACTTCCACGGTCCACTCCCAATCCCCACTCCCAAGCTCCACTCCCACCCTCCACGCCCTCTCCCACTCTTGTGGTCCACTTGCTGCAATTTAGTGAAAGTACATACAGGAAGATTCCTGTTCTGGTTGGAAGGATCGAATGGATCTAATTCTGTCTGCAGGAGATTTAACACAGCTGGGATAGAATAGGGTTAGGGTTAGGGTTAGGGTCAGGGTCAGGGTTAGGGTCAGGGATAGGTTTAGAGTTAGGGTTAGGATTATGGTTAGGGTTAGGATTAGAGTTAGGGCTCGTGTTAGGGTTAAATTTATGGTTAGAGATAGGATTTGGGTTAGATCTAACACAGCTCTGTCACCCTCACTCTAACTGCAAGCTCCCCTACCTTACCCCCCCAGGACCTCATTCCCTCATGGAGAGGATCTCCAACTCTATTCCACCAGAATAGATAGCTTCACGTCCAGATAATCTGGTGGGGCAGGGTAGGGGAGAGGGATATTGGGTGACAAGATGTGATGTCAGATCTTAAAATGTCACAATGGATTCAGGTCCTGTGTGTGCCCAAATCTCACTGACTCTGTCCTTTGGGATTCACAGGACACTGCTTCAATCCAGCTCTCACTCCTTTCGGGGAGCAAATCTGATTTTTGGACAGTGGGATTTTTAGTAACTGTAATGCATTTTCAGAGGTGGTTGATTAAATGAGGGCTCGCTCGCCCTCTTAACTGAATGTAAAATTTTCCACATCACCATTTTGAAAAAGAGCACAGATGTTCTTGCCAGCGATTGACCAATATTTATCTCTCAATCAATATCAGATGATGACCTAATCATTATCACTCTGATGCCTATTGGAGCATGCTGTGTGTAAATTGGCTAAAATACAATGGTGACTATACTTCCCAAGTGTTTCATTGGCTATAAAGCTCTTTGGGACATCTTGAAATCGTGGAAGGTGCTCCAAAAATGTAAGATATTCTTTTTTTTAAAATTGTCTGATGCAATCGGTGACCTGCAACCCTCTCCTTCACAGACACTGAATTAACACTGAAGATAGTTACACTTTAAACACAACGTGCATTAATATCATTGAAATTAGCTAACTCTTGGCTAACAAGCAAACAAAGCAGAAGTGAATGGCAGTTCATTGGCTCAAACCAATTTAACTAATGAAGCATCAACACTACCATATGAGTCCTGTATATCCCTTTTAAATCAACTGTTAAACCCCTCTGAGAATTATTGGTTCTTTTCCATCAATTATGACAGTTATGTAAAAAATGTGAAGTGTTGTAAAATTTTAAACTGCTTTAAATTTTAATTATCACATCATTTAGAGTCCCTACAGTGTGGAAACAGGTCATTTGACCCAACAAGTCCACACTGCCCCTCTGAAGAGCATTCCACCCAGACCCATTCCCCTAACCCTGCATTTTCTATGTCTATCCCACCTAACCTAAACATCCCAGAAAACTACAGGCAATTAAGCATAGCCAATCTGAGCTAACCAGTGCATCCTTGGACTGTGGGAGGAAATCAGAGCACCCAGAGGAAACCCGCACAGACAGGGGGATAGGAGGACTGTCCTGTGGAGAGGAATTGGTCAAACTGGGCCTATACTCTTTAAATTTTCAAAAAAATGAGGGGTCATTTCAATGAAACCTAAAAAATATTTAAAGAAATAAAAAGGGTATCATTCATAAAATCCCGACAGTGTGGAAACAGGCCTTAGAGCAAACAAGTACATGCTGACCCTCAGAGCATCCCACCCAGACCCATCCCTATAGCCCACCTATTTTACACATCCCTGAACACTATGGGACAATTTAGCATGGCCAATCCACCTAGCCTGCACATCTTTGGACTGTGGGATGAAACCGGAACACCCAGAGGAAACCCACACAGACACGGGGAGAACGTGCAAACTCCACACAGACAGTCACCTGAGGGTAGAATTGAACCTGGGTCCCTGGTACTGTGAGGCAACAGTGCTAACCACTGAGCCACCGTGCTGTCCGGGAGATGCTGGTAAGATGTTTCCCCTGGGAGGGGAATTAAGAACC